GGCACACCTGATAAAGCCCGTTATGAGGGCTGTTTGAGAGACGCTCTGGGGGAGGGTGTCGCTTCCCTGGGCCGCGTCTATGCCAGCTTTTTTTTTTTTTTCCACTATCATGTTGTGAGTGTTTTGAACAGCACCATCTGTAACGTATACTTCTTGATTATACGCATCTTGATTGTAAAACAACCGAATGCGTCTACATCCGGAACTGTCCTGCGCATGAACTTCTAACTCGAAATTGGAAGGGACGCCTGCAGATGGGGCACGCACGGATGGAGGCACACGCACTTCCACACACCTGCAGTTCCCGGCCGGCAGCTACCCCTAGGCCCGAGCCTGGAGGAGGGACGCCCGGAGGAGCCCAAGTCGCCTCTCGAGGCTACTCTTGGCTGGCTGCCGTGTGTAGAGGGTGGGGGCGTCAAATTTGGAAACTAGAGAGTCTGAAAGCGCACGGGCAGGAACCGTTTCGGGCGTCGTGTGGCTCCCGGCCTGCGGGCTTGGGGTTGGAGGTGGGAGGAATGGCAAAACCTGACTTCTCCTTCTCCGATTATTATTATTATTATTATTTTGGAAGGGCCTACAAGTCGGGGAGCTTTTCTCGCCGAGGGAGGGGTCTCAAGGCGCAGGGAAGGGCCCTGCACGCACCCATACTCGCGCGCACCCGCTGGCGCACTCCCTGCTCCTGCGGCTTTGCCGGGGTTGGGGAGCAGGGAGCGCAGGGTCGTGACCCCTGCCTCTGCCCCAGCGCGCCCTTCGGCCCCGGCAATTAGCGCCGGGAGGTCAGCAAGAACCCGGACGCCTGTACCCGCGGCTGAAAGCACAGCGAGCGGCGACCCCGGCCCCTCCCCTGCGCCGGGCTCCGACGCCAGGGCTCCGGCAGGCGTGGAGCCGACCTTTCCGACGGGCGGGGCCCGGAGGGCTCAGGCCGGCACCCACGTTTGGCACCTGAATGTCGCGAGGTCGCTGTGGGGGCTCTGCAGGCTGCGGTAGCTGAGCCTCGCCCGTGACCCCGCGGACCGCTGCTCCATCGAGCCGTGGTCTCCGGCTCCGGCGGACGCAGCCAGCTTTTTAATCTTTTATTTTTAAACACACTCATAGAAGATTTTGAGTTGTAAAGAGAGGGTGTCCAGCCTACAGGGAAATCTGAGGAGGTGTGCGCATCGGGCACTGGGCACCCTTCAGAAAAGCAGGTTGTTCCCTGCTTGGCGAGGCCCCTGGGCATGGGTCCGTAGATTTGCAAACGGAGCAGCTGGGTCCCTGGCGAAAGCATTGCGCGCAAAGTCCCTGCCCTCTGTTCCTGAGCGTCCTCTTGCAAGTGCCGCGGAGGAAAGGGCTGTTTTTCTCATCTGAGGCCCAGCAATAGTGAACCCGATGTCCAGGAAGCAGGGGACCCGAGCTTCTGGCTCCCCGGCAGAAGACGGGGAAAAGCGGGGAGGAGAGCGCGAGGGCTGGGGGGAGGTCGGGTTAGGGTGGAGGAGCAAAGGTAAGCCCCCTTCCCCCAAAAATCTGGGACCCTGGAAGCGCTGGGGTGCTGACAGACGGCGGCGACCAGGGGCGCATTCGTGGGCCAAACAGATAGGTGGCACTCGAAGCCCAGAGAAAAGGCGAAGGCGCCGGCCCCGAGTGGCCTCGGCTGCCGCCGCCGCCGCCACCATAAAGCCTGCGGCGAGATTGCGACCGGCGCCAGGTGAGTAATAGGCAACGAAATCTGGAGAGATTGCAAGCCGTCCACCCCCCGTCCATCAGCGCCACGAGGGTTACTCATTAACTTCACTATATACAGATCAGATCGACCGGAGATTAAAAAATGAAGAAGAAGGCCTGGAGGGAGGCCGGACACGATGCACGTCTGGGCAGTGTCCCCAAATTCGGGGAGGGTATGGGGGGGATGGGAGCGGTGGGGTAGGCAGGAGAAAAGCAAATCCACCAGAACCCGCTTCCCTTTCAGCGGTTCTGTTCTGTTCGTTCAGTTCTCCCCCCCGGTCCGGGTGCGCGCGGCCGGGCGCCACGGGCCCACCCACACCCCTTTTGCCCAGCGCGGGCAACAAGCGGCTGCTCCGGGCCCAGAATTCCCACAGCCCGGGCGCTGCGCCCTGGGGAAAGCCGCAGCCTGGAAGACCGCTCCAGCCTGCAGGCCTCTCCACCCTCACCGTCCCCTCCGCCCCCAACGATCGCAGGAGGTGCCGCGGAGTCCTTCCCCGCCCCCAGCGCGGCCCGGGTTGGGAGGAGGGAGGACTTGGCCCCTCTCTCTCCAAGAGGTCTCGACCCCGAGCCCCTTCCAAGTACAAGATGAGGGCGGGGAGGAGGCCCGGAAGGTGACAGGGACTTGGGGCCGGGCTGGCGGGCTCCAGGATGAGGGTGGGGATGGGAGGGGGCGGTGGTCAGCCGCCAGGCCGGCTCCGGCTGAGTCCTCACCACCGGGGGCCCCCCGGAGTGAGAAAAGGCCAAGGGACTACACCCTCTACCCCCACCCCCACCTTCCAGAACCTCTCTCAGCCCATCCCAGACACACACACACCTCCCAGGTGAAGCTGGGGGTGGATAGAGGGGTGGAGAGTAAGACTGTCCCACCAGTTTCTTTTTTTCTTTTTTTTATTGAAGGTTTCCAAGATAAAAGGCAAGTCCCCGAAAAGCCTGGGAGGTTGGCCGCAGGGGAGGGTGCCAACCTTCGGCGTGAATTTCGTCTTGGAGGGGTCCGGAACAGAACAGCCCTGCAAACACCTCTCCCGCGCTGGGGGGGCCCTCCCTACACCCTTCTCCCGTGGTGTCCGGGGCCTCGGAGGAGCGCACGGGGGGCCGCGGGTTCCAAACGGTGACAGTGCGTGCTGGCGGAAGGCGGCGTCCGGGCGCCGCGGCTCCTTCAACCTGCAGGGCAGCTGCGAGGCCCAGCCTGGTGCCCAGGATTGCGCACCGCACAGGCCAAGGACTGACACTGAGAGAGGGCTGGAGTTTTACTTTTGATGTCTGCTAACTTGTATTTCCCCAGATCCACGTGCAAAGCGGGAGAGCCAAGTAGAATCGCAAAGAGCTCTGGGTGCCCCACTAGTTTCGATTGGATCCGAGTGGGAGAAGCCGCCTTGGCAACGGCGCGGATCTGTTTCTATTAGCATTTAAGTAGTGAAATTACTGTTCTTTCCGAATTGTAATCAGGCTCCTTCCGGTCTCGTGCTTTTTTTTTTTTTCCTCCTAATTTAAAGGAGCAGTAATTTCAGATTGAAGCTGTTCCCTTCCTTGGCTGGAGTGAGATCTCATTTGGCTTCACTAGGGGCGGTCTTAATTACTTAAAGGCGAAGGGAAGAACTAGGTAAGAAAAAATCGGAATCCTGGCCTGACATTTCCCACCACCACCACCACCACCACCACGCGCTCAGGTCAGAGTGCTAAAGAAAACATTTAACACAAGGCCAAGAGACATTTCAATAAAAATTTATTGAAATTTCAGTGATGTTTTAAAGAGAGAGGAGGGGAAAAATACAGAAAACCAAAGAACTCATCAACAACTAGAACACAAATATATACCTTCGCAACTGGCTTTGTGCCAGCTCTCAGCACCTGACTTGGGAACTGTTGAATATAGCTCTAGGAGGGGCTAGCTCAGCATACACCACCGAGGTTGACAACAGCAGTAAATCCCACTTTGTTTTGGGGCAATCAGAGACTAGCAAATAGAAATACAAAGGGGTGGGGGGAGCTCAAGGCAGGCTCTTCTACCCACTACAGCAACTGGAGAACCCCTTTGGGGTGTTGTTTTCCGGCACCGGGCAGTGGCTGCCCCCCCACTCCTGGGTTTTGGCTAACAGGAGAAATAGCACTCTCTCCCGGTGCACTCTTGTTTAAAGGAACAATGTTGCAAATTGGAAAGTAGGAAGGTGTGCTGGGTTCTCCCATGCCATATCTGATCCAGATAGAAAACCCACCAGGAGCAACTAGCGCATGAAAACACAAAAAAACCTCACAGGCCTTATTTACACAGAGCTATGTACAATGTCAATAAATTAAAGTTTTTAATTTTCCAAGCATTCATATTCCACCTATGTACAGGAGTTATCAAATAATTACATAAATACTTTGTCTAATAGTCTCGCGTCTTCTTTATTCATTTTTTTTTAAAACCTTGTTATTGCGTATACAGGAAAAAGGGGGGGGGGAAACTGGCAAGAGACACAAGAATCGTGCTACAGAATCATTGGCTAAAAGAAATTCATGTTTTTCTGTTGTCCCCACCCGGGCCCTTCAGGTCCTCCTTCCTGGGAGTTGATCACTGAGGGGTGAGAGGGGTGGCACACAGGATTTGGAGGTGGGAAGAGATGAGATTTTGGGCTTTTTTCTCCCCTAAAAGCGCAGCGTTCAAAATAAAAACCACGAATACAGGACTGTGGAACATGCGAGAGACCTAGGGTGGCTCTTAGAACATCACAAGAATATTAAAAAGACACGAATTTCCTTACTACAGACTAAACTAGGATGGCGATAGTCTCTTGGGGCGGGAGGGGCTTTGCTGAGGCGTTTCTTGCGAACATCACTCTAAAGCTTCCCATTTTCACAAACACCATCATGTTCTTGGATTCATTTGTCCTCATTAAAAAAAAAAAACCTGCTTTTGTTTCCACTTGACACAGCGAAGGAAAAAAATATATATAATAAAACCATTCATTCGGAGGAAGGACACTTGAGAGCCTCCTCCCTCCCTCCCTCCCAACTGGCTCGGTTGCCTTCTCCTCCAGCGACAGCGCCCAGGTCAGCCTGGCTGGAGGGTCCTTTGAACATATGTTCTCACCCCCCCACCCTCAACAGGCAGGTGCGCCAGAGTTCCCACCCCCACCCCCATCCTGGGGCTCGCCAAGAAATCCGGGGGGAAGGGGGCAGGCTCTGGAAGGTTTCAGCCAGGGAATCTGGCACCCTTTGCCACTGCTGACCGCCCGCTGGCTCCCAGCACGTCCCACAAAGTGCACACGGCCTGGTCTGGACTGGAATGAAAAGACGTCTCAGAGGGAGGTGGGGGTCTAGGGGGACGCGCTGCGGGACCTGTCCGGCTTGGCCTCCAAGCCGCTAACCAGCCGCTGGATGCTCTGAAGTTCGCTGGTGGCTGCCTCTTTCTCAGAGCAGAGTTTGGGCGACAAGGACACGGAGCCGGAGGACAGCGTGGAGGAGCGGCTGTTGAGTTCCGAGCCTGAATCCACAGCCCCCGAAGCCGGGCTGGCGGCCAGGGCGGCGGCTTTGGCGTCCAGGGGCCCCGTGGCCGCCGCCATGGAGGGCAGGGCCGAAGTGAGCAGGCTACTGCCGTCTGGGACCGGCACCGGGATGGAGTAAGGGCTGTAGCGCAGCCGCGGGCGCATGCTGTTCAAGTTGAGAAAGGGATGACGGTGCACAGAGCTGGAGGCAGCTGCCGAGGAGGCTGCGGCCGCTGCGGCCATGTACGTGTAGGGATAAGGGAACAGGCTTCCGAATGGCGACATGGCCAGGCCCTGGGAAAGGAAGAGAGACGCAACAGGAGTCAGCCCAAGGGTGATGGATGTGAGCCGGGGGTGAGCGGACTGCACCCGCTCCCCAGGGGGTGATTTCTCCCCCACCTCCCTTTTTTTTGGAGGGGTGGGAACCAAGAATTCCACATCCCAGCTGTGTCACCCACTTTCCCCAGGCAGACCACAGGTAATCCATGCACTTCTGGGAGACTGTGGCTTAAAACAGGCCACACACAGTGCCTGGGGACAGGCCTGGGAGAATCCGCCATCAGGGTTACTGGTGGCACCTGCTAAATGGGACAACAGGGTCCATCCATCCCATGAAGGCAGCTGATTAAGAACCTGTAGTCCTGTAGACTGGGGCGAGGGAGGAGATGGGACGGGGGGGGGGGTCCTTCATTCTCATCCTTACAACCCTCTCACCTCAAACTTAAAAAAAAAAAAACTTAAAGCAAAAGTGTTTGTGTCAACAGAATAAATGACAGCACCAGGTGAGCACCCAGGTGAGACAGCCAGGCCCTGGGGCTCAGGACTGCAAGCAGCAAGGAAGTACAGGTCCCTGGCCCAGCAGCACACCCAGGAGCCCGGGCAGCACGTGGCTGACCCACCTATCACCTGCCCAAGTGTGTCCCTCCTTCCAGACAGCGGCCAGTGCAGGGCAGACAGCTCTGGCCCCGTGGCTCCCCACAGACCAAACAAAAGGCAAGTAGGGAGCCTGGGGGTGCTCTGCAGACTTGACTGACTCCCCAGCTCCCTAACTGTGGGTTACCCCCTCAATAACCCTGCCCACTAAGCCCCCAAGACAATCCAAGGGAGGGAATCGGCTGTCAAACACTTCAGCTCCAACCTTGAAGACAAAACCCTGCTGGGGGAGGGGAGGAGCTTAGAGTCAGACAGTCTGAGATGGGGTCAACTGTGCCAGGTGCTGGCTGTGTGACCTTGGGTAAGTTACTCCGCATCTCTGGGCCTCTTTCCAAGCCATCAGCTCTGCCTAAAAGGAGTATTTAGAGTACTCCATGGATAGGACACGTTGTAAGTGCACTATTGGGCCCACCATTTTCTCCCCTGCTGGAAACAGCCCTTAGGCTATTTAAGTTAACCTTTTAAGTTTAAAGACTTAAAGACTGGGGGGGGGGGGGGGGGGAAGCGAGGCCCCAGCTAGGGCAAATACCTGCGAAGCCAAGACGTGTTGCTGAAGGTGGAAAGGCAGGGTGGCCGCCGACGCCCCCGACAGTCCCTGCGCCGCCGCAGACGCCATGCCGGTGGAATCCAGGCCTGACACGCCGGTGGAGGCCCCGGACACAGTGGCCAGCAGGGGCCCCATGCCGGCCGCCATGCTGGAAAAGGCACCCCCCATGGCGAACTGGCCGGGATGCAGGAAGAGAGGATGCCCATTGAAGAACTGCTGGCCGGCTAGCCCCGGAGCGAAGCCGAGGCCAGGCAGGGGGCCCTGGGCCAGGTGCGCTGCAGCCGCGTCCGTCTGCACCGTGAGCGGAGCGAAAGCCTCCTTCCCCGGCGGCGGCGGCGGCGGTGGCACGCGCGCCTCCTCCACCTTGGACGTGGATGCGCCCTCGCGGCCCGGGCTCCGGCGCTCCTCCGTGCCCAGGCCGCGGGTGCTGGATGAGATGGTGGCTGGGCTGTGGCGCGAGTCAGGCGACGCCTTATCGGGCCGTCCGCTGTCCCGGGAACGGCCGCCGTGCTCGGCGGTGGAAAAGAGGTGCGTCTTGACCGCGGGACTGCCCTTGTCGCGGCACGGCTCCTCCGACGTGGTGGTGGAGATCTTGGCCGCGTCGCAGGCCTCCAGGCCGTGCTCCTCCCGGCTCTCGGTGTCACTCTCGCCCTCGCTGGGACACAGATCTGCAGCAGGAAAATAAACAGACAGCCTGAGGGGGTGCGTGGGCCAGAGGGGCACTGCAACTTGGAGGCCGAGCACCCTGGGCCAGCCCCCACCCAAGCTCTCCTGACTGCCAAAACGGGGAATCAAGACCCCCAGGCAACTGTAGGGGTCCCTAAATTAATAATTTACAGTGTTGGGGGGGTCAGGTAGGGCCCCCTCCCTTTAGAGACACCTCCTATTCCTATTTGTACCGGCATGCACTCAGCTTCTACAGTGTCAACAAAAGTTGTGAACTGCCTTTCTCCATCCCATTGCAAATTAGCTTGAAGAAAGGAAACTAATTTAACTCTGAAATTCACGCCTGGAGCCCATTTAGCCGCCCCTGAGCTCAGCACCTTCCACAAGTCTGTGGGGTCTTTGGGGAGACAGCTGGCATAGGAATTGAAACAGCAGAAACAGGCCCCTCTGTGCCTTCCCCCCTCCCCGCACACACCCCCAAAACACACTCCACGGGCCTTCCGGGTGCCTGCCCCCAGCCCTGCAGACAGAGCTCACCACACCCTCTGTGGGTGTCCTACCCCCGCAGGAAAGAAAAAAGAGACACTATTTTGTCTAAAAGGTTCCAGGGACTGAAGACATAAAGGGCTTGTATTGTTATTTCACTTTTTAAAGTTGTTTGATAAAAAAAAAAAAAAAAAAAGAGTGTGTGTCTAAATAATCAATGCTTGCTCTTTCAACAGGAAACCCACTGGGGGTTTCCTGTCACCCCCACCCGTGACCCCTGTGCCTCTCTTTCTCAGTTCACCATGGCTCTGGACTCACCCTCCCAGGCCAGCACTTTTTAACCTGTAGCTCCCCATTGATGGTTATTCTTCATTTGGGGGGTGGTATGAGAGGGCAAGCACAAACATACTCCCACCCATCCCGACCCCCACTCCCGCCCCAGCCAAATCTGGCTTTGGGGAGGTCTCCTGATCCCTACCACTTGGCTGCTGTCTCAGGGCAAGCCTTCCCAAGGGCAAGCCCCCAGGCCTGGGCCCCTCTCTCCTCCCAGGTCTGCTCTAGGGCACCCAGCTTACCTTTGAGGTTAGAAGTTCCTACTGTGGAGACTGCGGGAGAGGAGGCTTGGGCAAAGCAGCTGAAGGCGGCCTGTTCGCTGGAGGACTCGTCCGAGGTGCCATTGTCCTTTTTGTGTCTCTCATCAAACACCCGCATGGACTGTAGGGTGAGCTGCTTTCTGCAAGCGGAAGTCCACACACACCCAGTGTCACAGAAAGTAGCGTCCAGCTGCCCCACCCCCACACCTCCTGCTGCTGCCCTCCACCCATGGGCAACCTCTGATCTGCAACCACGTAGACCCTCTAGGTGGCCTGCAAGTATGGCCCAAGGGCAGGGAGGTTAAAAATCAAGGTTCCATTGGGAAAGGGAAGGCATGCTTGGGTAAGGGTGGCGGCCAGGGCCAGCTGCCCTGCAGCCTTTCAGTGAAAGGTAACTGGGGGTCCACCCCTGTGAACACACCACCCGCCTGTGTGCTCAACCCCAGCAAACTCCAGCAGGGCCTTGGGAGGAAGTGGCTATTTCATGGTGCACTTTGCTGTAATCGCTTCGGCAACACATTAATTGGAGTAAAAAATGTATTTAGATGTTAGAAATTATTTTTAATGCCTACCCCCTCAAGGGGATAGGTGAAAAAATGGCGGGTGATTTTCTGGATTTTAGAAATTCTTTGAATAGGGGTTGGGAGAGGGCAGGCTTCTTTCATACACTCCCCAGCTGTCTGCTAAATGCAAAATGATCCAGAGACCCCGTTAGGGAGGGCAGGAGTCCCAGACGGCTCAGGGGGTCCCCAGCTCTGATGGCATTTGGAAGGCCAGATTGCAAAAATTCCAAGGCATCTGGGAATACTTGCTGCCATCCTGAGACTAACCCAGGATGAACCAACATTAATTAAGAATTAATAGGCACCCTGATAGAATCTGTTAACCTTGGCACTCTGTTTTTTTTCTCTCTCGCTCCCAGAAGTAGACATGGCGCAGCCAGTTAATGTCCTTAGAGGTAATAAAAACGGTAGAAAAGAATGGTGTGTTGACATCATCAGAGGGTGGCCAAGGGGAGTGAATAACCTGTTCTCCTCTCTTCCAATCCTTGAAAGCTGGATTCCAGGAAAGGGGTCCCCCCATATTAGTTAAGACATTCATAATTGCCTCAACTCACCTTTTTTCTCTTCTGCCATTTCCAGTGTCCCGGAAGCCTTTTGCAAAAGGGTTGTTGTCTATTTTTAACTGAGTTATCTAGAGGAGGAGAAGAGATACCAACAGAGACATTGGTCTCTGTTTCTGGTGTGATTTTTTTTTTGGGGGGGTGGGGTACTTCCCCCAGCCCATCATCCCCCTAGAAAGGTGACTAGCCTCCCCAGTCACATGGCTATGCCAGGGAACAAGGGACCAGGGGGGAACTTCAGCAGTGGCAGGAGTTTGGTGGGGGCGGGTGGTCTAGGGAACCTCGGGAAATCCTATCAAGACGCAGACATTCTCAAGGACTCCTCAGGCTCAAATTATCCCCCCAAAAATGATTGTCTATGGGAAGCTGAGAGTCTTGGTTTAGAAATGGAAACGGCAACACTGTCCAGAGAACCTGTAGCTCTTCAAACTGTACTTTTCCTTGGATTCCATTCTATAGCGCAATTAATCATAGAGTATATTGTGGCATTTTCTGCTACCTTCACACACACGCACACACACACACACACACACACACACACACACGGCATACACTCCAACCTTTTCCATAATCTAATAAAATGATTTATGGGGTTTCACTACCCTTGCACTGGAATGAGTTTGCCTTTTTTTTTTTTTTTTCTTTCCTGGGGTTGGGGAGAGTGGTTTGAGGAATTACAATATTGACAATTACAGATTTAAAAGGACAGAATGACCACTGGAAACATTTGTTTTCGTTTAGATTTTCTGCCACCGCCATTCTTCGGAGCAGGCCTGCGGGGGGGGGGTAGGGGGCTTTGTCTGATCTGATCAAAAATGCTGCCTTTTTATTATTACATTAACAACTTTGTTTCACAGGCATCTGGGTCTAGAGGGAGCGTGCGTTTTGCAGGCTGAGAGAAAATGCTGTAATATGTAATCTTTCAAGTCCCTTCCTTTGACCGGGGGCTGCAGGAAAGGACACAAGAGTTACAGATACACAACTACTTGGAGATGGGATAAGGGACTTTGGGTAGGATTTTGGTTCTTGGAATACATTACCAGTGGCAGACTTCAGCAGGGACCTGGGGCCCAGACTTAGGGACCCTCCTGTCCTGTGGTGCAAGGTGTGGTCGGGGAAATTGCACTTCCTTGAGCCCTTTCCTCATCTCTTTAACTTGCCTGCTCTCCCCCACAAGCCAAGCCCGGTAGGCTGGTGTAGCTGCAGCCAGGGGCTCACTGTGTCTCCTGCAGCCCTTGCCCTTGACCTTCAGGCCACTGTAGCCCTAGATTCCAAGTGCCGCCCATCCCAACCTAGGCTCCTTCAGACCCCAGAAAAAAAACTTTCAGAAGAAAGGGGGACTTTGGCCATCTCAACGGGAATGTTAGCAGGAATGTGTGATGAGGGTAGGTTAGCCCAAATGTGCACCCACACGCACACATGCGCACACACACACATACACATTTGAACACACATATCATAAAAAACACAGCAGCATAAAAGGTAATAAAAACCAGACCAGCTACTCGGGATTTCTGAGGGAGCAAAGCTGGTTTCCACCAGGACGCTCCTTCCAGAAGCCCCAGTGGCTCTGGCCTTCAATTGTTAGCTGGTTCCTTTTGAACTTGGTTTCTGGATCTTTCTCTTCCCACCGAAGGAAAAGAGGGGGAACAAAGTGTGAGGGAGATCCTATGGGAGAGGGGAAGGGCTGGGAGGGAGGCTCAGAGACAGTGGCCCCAGGAGCCTCTTCCTGGAGACACTGGTTTTCGGGTTTTGTTTGTTTGTTTTAAGATCAGCGCTGGCCTCTTCGTTGGTTGGGTTTTACTTTGCTCTTGGCTCCCTCTTTGAGGTGCCAGCTCCCCCTTTCCCCAATCACCCGTGTCCAAGGTCAAAGCCCCCTGAGAAAACTCAACAGCCACCTCACCCCAGTTCTCTTGGAACTTGCTCAGACTGAGCCACCAGCCGCTTAAGGGGGAGGGGAGACGACCGTGGTGGTTGAGAAAAGCCCCTCTCGTTACCTTATCGTTCTGGTATGCAGTCACGGCGATGAATTCTGTTTCGGGAAACAAGTAAGTCCGAAATGTACTATAAGGGAGTTTCAGGATATCATTGGCTCGGACGATGTGGAATCGTGGCTGATATTTGTGCATGGAGTTCAGTATGGTCTGCAGGGAAGGGAGACACACACACACACACACACAAAAACACACATACAAAGGATTTAGCAAGATGAACGGGGTCCTCGAGCCACCCCCCCCCCCCCACCGACTGACACATTCCATCCCGGGACACCACACTTAGACCAAGCCCACCTCCGCCCGGTACCTCTTTGGGTACCTTTTTCACTCCACCGATCTGATCTAATTGAGAATCCAAAACATTGTGCCTTGATTTTCAAAAGGGAGTCCCCCCACCCTCACCATCTAAGGTTCGTGCGTACCTTGAACCCTAGCCTACCTGAGTACCAAAACTATAATTCCCCTGCCACGTTGCGTGATCACTTGGGAAGGCCAAAGTCTTAAAAGATAGAGAAAAACATGCATTTTAATTTACAAAATGATTCAGTCCTTTAAGCGCCTACTAATTGACGCGCCCAATCCACTTAACGTCCTGGAAGGCTGAACTGGAGTGGAATATTTATGCCTTAATCAAATCAAGAGCTCCAAATGCAATTCCTGCCCACTGAAGATATGTTCGTGCTATTCACGTCTTCCTGGGCCTAATCTTTCGGCCTATCCCTCGCTTATCGCGGTTTATTGAAATGTTGGGGAGGGGCGGAGGCAGGGGCAAAAGGTCCCTGGCCTGACGTTTCGCCGGCGACCCAAGTGCTCGCACAATTTCGAAGTATTCCCACGCTGAACCCAACGAAAGACGCACTCCCAACACGCACGCCATTTCAACGCCCAGAAGCTCAGGCTGTTTTCCAGTACCCCCAAGGTTCACCTAAACCCCAATTCTTTGATCCTAGGAAAGAATACAGGCTCTTTTCTTTTTGAAATTTCCAATGTCCTGAATACCCTTTAACCAATATCACCAAGGCTGCGACCATGAAGCTCAAACTCTCCCAAGAAATAAACCAGGCTGGTTGCAAAACGCAACCCTGATTTAAAAAAAAAAAAAAAAAAAAAAAAAAAAACAGATCCCGTGACCGAATGCTAGGTGCTGTAGCTGACACTGATACCAAAGCACTGTTGTTTTTTTGTTTTGTTTTGCTTTGTTTTGTTTTAGCTTCTCGGTCAGTGCAGCCATCTGCCTTCCCAGGACCTGAGATTGCCAGACCTAGGTATGGCCTCTTGCTTCCTTTCTTTCAGGACGCCAGGCCTTCCATCACCCAGATAGTAAAACAGCCCCAAAGCCTCATCCCGTGGGGCTGCCAATGGAACAAGTTTGCCGCGTGAAGCCAAAGCCAAAACTCAAGTTTTCCACCCCACGGGGCAGGGTTGGGGGAGAACATTGCTTCCCAGAGAAGAAAGAGAATAGTTTTGTTTTAAACTGACAAGAGGGGTGAAACTTACAAATCCGTGTTTGTCCGAAATGTTGTTGGTGAGTTTCAGTTTGTGGAAAGTGACCACTTTTGACATCCATTGCTCCCCAGTGGCCGGGCTGTCCGGATGTATATACATCCTTTTGGGCATTTCAGGGTCAGCCTTGCCCGCCACCATCCACCGCGAATTGTGGAATTTATACCGGCAGTCATCCGCAGCGATAATGTCCATCAATAAAATATATTTCGCTTTTTTATCCAGCCCAGAACATCTCACTTTAAATGGAGGGAACATTCTCCTACAATAGCAAAAATCAAAAGGGGAAAAAAAAAGTGAGAAATCGCTCTGATTCTTGGATTTGATTTCAAACTAAAATGTGTCAACCAGGTTTCAAGGTTCCTACTGGGACCAAGTAGCTTCTGGTTTTTCCAAGTAGAGGCTACGGGCTTCAAACTCGTTTCTTTCCACGCAGGACGCTCAATGGATGTTAAACATTTATGTCCCAGGACTCAATCAACACACAGGCATTGTGGAGCTGCACATTTCTGCTTCTCTCTCTACTAATTTCTTGCTTGTTTTTTTTCCCCCCACTGCTTGGGTTCAGAGACTGTCCGGCCTGTTTAGGACAATCTGTGCTTGAATAGCTATTTTTTTTTTTACCACTCCCCCCTCCCCAAGGCAAGCTAAAGCGAAACAGCTCAGGGTGGGATTGTAGTTAAGGGGGTCCGCCAATGCCAGAACTTGGATGAGAAAAAGTTACACTTCCCTGGCACACTGAGCGAGCGTCAGGTGGCACCCTCCCTGCTGTGGCAAGGCAATCCTGCTCTGGCGAAATGAAAGTGGCATTAAGGAAATTCAGGACAGACTTCCCAGATGGGGGGCAGTCAGCACTCAGGGACGAATGACCCAGCTGTGGGTAGAAGGCTGGGCCTCACGGCCCTGCTCCTTAGGCCTGTCCAAGACAGGCCACCAGCCGGCCACGAATTTCACCCAAATTTTGGTGCTCTGGGTATTTAGCTTGCGTGCTGTAGGTTTCAGGAAAAGCCTGGGCCAGACCCGGGCTCTGCTTAGTGTGAAGAGGGTTAGACAGCTGAAGAGGGTTTTATATCTTTATGTTACATCGAGACATCTTTTTAAAAAACTTCTCCTGCGATGCTATTTTTGAAAATTCTGCTTCGAAGAAAATCGTCCCGAGCAGAGCTTTGGGCCAGGCCGAGGACTCGTCAACATGACGTGAAATGCGGGGTGTAACATTCACTCAGACACAAGCCGCCTGCGCAGCTCAGTCGGCTCCATGGGTCTCACAAGCACAATCTTAATTATCCGAAATTGCCTGTTGAACTCTCCCCTCCGGTTACCGACACGTGAGGCAAACAAACTCCAGTGCCCTGGCATCTCTCTCTGACTCGGGGCGGCAGAGGCTTGGGGGGTAGTAGTGGACTGGCCCTTCAGACCCAGGGAGTTAACCAGCAGGAGGGTAGGGAGGTGAGGGGCCAGGCTTCCCACTCCCAAACACAGGTCAGAATCTTGTTCCTCCCCACTCCCGAGCACAAAACGAAACAGCAGCCACAAAGCCATCACCGGGCTCTCGCCACCGCAGACCCAGCCCTTCTGTTAGGAGAGAAGCTTCTTCTGCCTGCTCGCAGGGAAGTCTGCACCCTTGTACAAACTTGTGTCGGTTCTTAAAGAACCACTCCAGGGCACCCAGGTAAACCCAAAAGCCCCACCGCCAGGGCAGGCCCTGGGAGACTCCGACCGCACTTTCTCGCGGGGGAACGCGGGTTTCGTCCAAGCCCTAAAGCCTGGCTCTTCTAGGAAGATGGTCCCTGCAGGGGCTCCGGGAAGAAGGACTCTCCCTCGCCCCCCAGCCGATGGCCTGCGAGCTTACCTTCCAGACTTGGTAATGACCATCTCTGTGCCCCGCTTGTGGAACTGGTCCCAAAGTTCCTTGGCCTCCAGGTGCACCTTAGGGTCGTCTTCCACCTCCTCTTCGGGCTCCATAGTCTTCAGAGGCCTCAGATGCGCCTGAGGCCCCAGGGACGAGAACGGGAGGCCGGTCTCGGCAGCCCCCACCAACTGATCCATGATCGGCTTGGCCAGCGCGCCAGGCAGCGAGAGCGCCGCGGCGCCGTTGGGAGGCAGCGCCAGCGCGGGGAAGAAGGGCGGCTGGTGTCCCAGCACCGCGCTCATGGCGAAGTCCGGCGCCCGGTGAGGTAGGAAGGGGTGGTAGGCCATGCTCGTCCCAGGAATCACCGGATCTCTCATGGAGAGGTTCATGCACTCCGGGCGGGGGCAAGTCCGCGGCGGCTATGCTTTGCTCTGGTGGGCTTTGTTTTGTTTTGTCGTTTTAACAGCTGCACATAGTTTTTGTAGTTTTTTTTTTTTAAGGACAAAAAGCAAAAAAAAAAAAAAAGAGAGAGAGAAGCAGAAATCACTTCAAAGAGCGAGGCGGGTGGAGCGAGCTGGAGCGCCGCCGTTAGAGAGGACAAGGAGAGCGAGCGGGAGACATAATCGCCAGCGGGACCGCCCCGGTGCTTCCCGCGGCTCCAACGCCGCTCTGGCCGGCCGGCTGCGGGAGCGGGAGGCGCGGGCAGCGTCGGTGCAGGCGCCGAGCCCCGCCGCCGCGGCCGCGCACTCGCTCCAACCCTCGGTCCTCGGCGTCTGGCCCCGGAACCCCCCGATCCTTTGTTGCCAAGGCAGTAGGTGCTTCTAGGAGCAGTTACACCTTCTCCCTCGCCCCCTTATTCCTCTGTCTCTCTGGCTGGGGGCGCCTGCAGTTGCACCAGCCCCGAGCTAGCGAGCTGGAAAAAGTCTCTCCTGGGGCGGGAAAAAAAAATTAAATCTGATGGAAACGCCACCCCCACCCCTCCGCTACCAGCGCTATCAAAAAACTTGGACTGCAAACTGGCTCCGGCTCGCCCTCTCTCCTCCTCCTCGCTCTGCCGCGAGCCTTCCTCCGCAGGCTGTCTCGGTTGCAGTCCGAATCTTGCTGTACTTTTTTCCTGCCGGGCCTTTCTCTCTTCCTTGTCCTAAATCGGGAGCGATTTCGCTTCCTAAACCTGCGTCCGGGCGCGCAGGCTGGGCAGGATTTAGAGCAGTGTAGGAGGTTGGGGGGAATTGGGAAAGGAGGAAGAGAGGAGAGAGAGAGGGGAGAGAGAGCGAGCGAGAGAGACGCGGCGAGCGAGGAGAGGGAGGGCGCGAGAGAACGCGAGCAGAGCTGTGCTCGCCTCCCTGCTCGGCCTCTGGGACTCCCCGGGGCGTCTGCTCGGCGGCTCTAGAAGGTCGGGCTGCGCGGTGGGCCGTGGGGAGCCGGAGGCCTCTTGATTGGCTCTTTGACGCTTTCGGACCAATTGTGTCGCTGCATAGGCGTGGTTTTCACAGGTCGAGTGCTGGGGGATAGAGCCGAGTTATAAAAAGAAGGTGTCGGAAACTGTAGCGTCGCCGCGCCGCATCGGTACTACTGCCCGTCCCGCGAATATGTCAACGTGATCCGAGGGAGGGCGGGCGGCAGGGCGCCGCCGCCGAGCGCGCGCACCCCGAGTCGCCTCTAGGTGGCTTATCCAGAGATCGCCAAGGCCCCCCGAGCGCGCTCGCGCCCGCGCCCACGTCTGAACTGCCTCAGTCACTGCAGCCCCGGATCCAGGGAGGAGGCAGGGCCAGGAGAGGAAGGGGGAGGGAGAGAGGGAGGGAGCAAGCCAGCCCAGCCCAGCGGACGAGAGAGCGAGCGTGCGAGCGAGCCAGCCAGCGAAAGAGCCAGGCCGGGAAGGCGGAGAGCGCTCCTGGGCGCCGGGCAGGGGCGCTCGCCTCCTGCGCGCTCGACTCGCTCCTCCGGCTGCTTTCTCCGCAGCCCTCGCTCTTCTCCCGGCCCACGGGCGAGCCAAGCGGGCAGCTAAACCTCCCTGCGAGCTGCCGTTCCGGCCGCTGGGCGCAACAAAAGCCGGCGGCGGCCGAGAGGCGAGCGCCAATGACTCCTAAGGCGTGCGCGCTCTTCAGCCCCACGTGGAGCCGGGCTCCGCCTGGCTACCGCCAGGAGACTCCCCGGCCCTTGTGTCTAAGAACTGGGCTGCTCTGAGCCTGGATCCGTGGACGCACGAGCATGTGGAAGCTTCCAGATCTCAGCACGCGTGTGTGGGCCCCGTCTCCCCCACGTGCGGAAACCATTCCCTTCCCCCTCCGCCAGTACATTTGTGTTGAGCCCTGCGCCCCCAAAGCACAGCCACGCAAACACATACAGACTGCATGACTGGCCCTGTCTGTGGGCACTCCAAGAGTGGATTTTTTCCTATTATTTTTAATAGATTTACCAGCTCCTGTACACGCGTTCCCTGGCTTGCACTTGGATATGTTTGTATGTTGTGGGGACCAGAGTGCCGAGGGGATAGTTGAGAGCCGCTTGGTTCTGGACCTGCCCGCTCCAAGCCACCGCCCGCACCTCGAGGGACGTCTGGGTGCGGAGCTAGGGGCCTGGAGTGGGCGGGCTGCCTGGGGGAGGTGCGCCAGTCTGGTATCTTCTCCAGGCATCGGCGCTTATCTCTCGGTGCCTCAGTTCTTTCTCCACCCGGGGACTTATCTCGCCAGAAGTCCGGGGGGCGAATTTGTAAAACAAACCGTGAATCGTCCCCATCCCTGGAGGCAAGGAGGCTGATTCTACTTCTGGTTAGGGGGTGGGGCTGGGCCAGGGGCTAGGGTGACCAGCTGCCCAGGTAGTCACGTTGTCACTCGGGGTAGCTGGATTGCTCCCAACCTGGAGTGCTCCCTGCTGGGGGAGGGAGGCGCCCCCTGCTCCAGCTGAGAAACATCTTGGGGACAACGTTCTTTGCTTCCTGGGATGCCTGGAGGGTTAGGAATTTGTCCCTGGGTATGTGCGCTGTTCTCATATTTCGCCTCATGTACCCCTTGAACTCCTAGCTCAGGGCCCCAAGTGGTCAAGCGAGGATGGAGATGTGGGGCGGCAGCGCGCAGTTAGGGCCGGCACTTTGAAGGAGACCAGTCTCCCCAACCTCGCATTTTTGACCCAAGGAGTTAAGAGCGCTTGGCGCCGGCACTGAGAACTCTCTGAAGTCACCAGGGGACTGGGAGTGCTTCTGCGGACTCCACCTGGTTCGCCACCTCACTCCTTTCTTTCCCTTTCCTTCTGTCCCCGCTCTCTGCTGGTGGTGACAAGAGAAAAGAGGCCCAGCGTGTTGCTCCTAAGCCCCCGCCGGCGCCCCGCGCGCTCGAGCACGGAGCGTGCCTGCAGTCAGGCCTCTCCTGACACAGACCACTGCAGGGGTCACTGCAGGGTCTCCCCAGTCTCTGTAGCTCAGCAGCACCCCTCCCCCACACAGCCGCGGCCTGGGACAGCCTCCCAGCGCTTTTAGGTGCAGGCCCCTTGCATCGCCGACTTCAGGTTTTGCTGGTGATTGGCTGGACCTGCACCCGGCCCTTGCGTTCAGGGCGCCTGCTCCCCTTCTCAAGCTCTCGGGTGGGGTGGGGGTGGGGGCACACGCGACCACAGGCGCCGCGCCGCTGAGAGAGCTGCTGCTAGATCCTCCGCACTCCGCCGGCCTCGCCAGGACCCCGGAGCCGAGCCTACTGCTCTTGTGTGTTGCACATCTCAGCATGTTTGGGTTGCACCGGAGACGGATAGACGCATCTGCGCTTCCCCTCAATATCCCTCCCTCGGTTGCTTCTTGCCTCCACTATCCAACCTACCCAGGGGCTACCCCAGTTCAATCACTCCGAATTCCCCACCACCACCTCCAGCCACTCCAGCGCACCGGGAAGGGAGGGAGAGAGGAGAGGAAGATTTGCGGGGTTCTGAATCGAAAATGAGGACAGCTCGCTAGTGGTCTACAAACTTCCGCCAATTAGAACTGACCTCCCAGACTCGGCCCCAGGAGGCTCGTGCTAGGCAGGGCGGCCGCCGTAACTCTGCGATCAAAAGCTGCAAGGTGCGAACTCCCTCTGAGTCTGTGCGCGCCCGCCGGGGGGCCCCCCTCCCGGTGGGTGATAAACCCACTCTGGCGCCGGCCGTGCGCTGGGTGATTAATTTGCGAACAAACAAAAGCGGCCTGGTGGCCGCTGCCTTCGGGTTAAACATTGGCCAGCGCGCTCAGAAGACTTGTGCAAGGCCTGGACTCCCGGGCAAGCCCTGGAGAGAGAGCGCAGCCCTGGCTTCAAGACGGCAGCGGATGGCTCTGCCTGATTCTCTACTCTCTTTTTTTTTTCCCCCTGCAGATTCTTGCATCTTCTCTCCTGCAGCCCTAAGCTCCACAACAACAACAACAAAACAGGAGAGGTGGCCGGGGAGCCTGCAGGGCCACCAGCCAGGATGGCAGGGGCAAGAGAGGAATAAACTGGGTCACCGAGGACAATATAGAAAATCTGCATCCTCAGAGTAGCCCCTGCCTTTTCCCAAAAGAATGTCACTGCATTGTGGGTCAGAGATGATGATGATGATAATTGTTATTATTTTAAGTAAGAAAATACCATTCTCCCTGCGGGGGATGCTCCCAGCCAGCTGAAGGGAAGGTGGTGGCCAGGATAGGTGAGTGGTGAGGACACGGGTGAAGGAGTCTTACAGTGGAAATGGAATGTGCAGAAAAAAAAACAAGACAAACCACAACCAGATCAGCTGCGCTCAGCCAGGTCAGGGGAAGGAACGTAAACGTTCAACGACAGGAGGACACCTCTACAGGGGAGGAGGGTCCCCCGTTTTCCTTGGGGCACGCACGGCCAGCGTGAAACCCAAAGCAGGACAGCTCGACCCGTTGGTGACCGAATGGTGTTTATCTGCAGTTTACAGAGAAGGGAGGGGAGGGGGGGTCAGGCTGGTGGGTGGGCGGGGTCGTTTACTTTGGCAAGTTTGCTGTAAATATTCCCTGCAGCGTGTGTGAGGTCTGGCGGAGGACTATTACACGCTTATTCCTGCTTCAGCCTTCACCGCCCCCCCCCCCACACACACCCTGTTCATTACCGAGGCCGTTTCTGGCCAAGGTGTCCCTGGATCAGGAGTTGTGTTGACACAATGGTCCTCCGTGTCTGGGGCCTGAGAACTGTGCTGTGCCGGTCAGTTCCAGGATAAGCTCCTCCCTGGGAGGCCTTGCTACTGCTTAGCCTGTCGCTTCAATCTGGCTCCATTTGTGCCCAAGCCCACCAACCCCCACCCCAGCCCATCCCTCGTGGTTCAGGAGACTGTCCCTTTAGAACCAGACTCACCCCCTGCTGGGAGTTTTCTTGCCCCTGGGGGGAAAAAACTGAGTCACTTTGGAGTAACTAGTGGACTATTGAGGACT